CATTGAGGCTACTATAAGCTGAGGAGCTATGTTGCTTACACTTGGAGGTCGCCGGGTGTAGGGTAAGGGTTTAGGGTTTAAGGTTTAGGGTTTAGGGTTTAGGGTTTAGGGTTTAGGGTTCAGGTTTAGGGTTTAGGGTTTAGCCGTATTCCAGCGTCGCAGCAGGGCCCCGGGTTGAAGTTGAGGGTTCGGGGTTTAGGGTTTAGGGCTTGGGATGGGAGTTTAGTGTGTGGGATTGAAAGTGTTAGGGCTTAAGGCTTCAGCGTTTAGGATTTAGGGCGTGCAGTTTAGGAAATTAACCGTTTGCATGCTGCCAAACAACCAGCGCGCGTGCGGGCTTCTAATGGAAGGTTGTTTTCCTGTCCACCAACAGCAGGAATCGCGGCGGCAGCAGCGCAACATGAAAACAAGATCCCTAAACCCTAAACCCTAAACCCCAAACCCTAAACCCTAAAACACAAACCCTAAACCCTAAACCCTGGTGTCAGCAAGACCTGCAAGCTCTAAAGCCTTGACAGAGCAAGCCAATAGTCCCAACACCTAAACCCTAAGATGCTACATGTTATACCCTAAGCCGCTGAACCCGTAAAGCCCGCACGACACCTGAAGAAATACACAAAGATCCTAGAGCCTGAACACTCACAACACCGATCTATTCAACTACAACACCTCCGAAAGGCATGTAACACCCAATAAGAAAAACACCTTCAAGGCGAGCAGTGAAAAGGTGGTGTTGGCTTTTAGTTGTTAAGATTTGGAATAAACCCTAAACCCTAAACCCTAGGAATTAGGCTTGAGAGGACTTGGGATTTACGGTCTAGCGGTTTTGGATCCGGCTATGCAGGGCTAGGGTTTAGGAATTCGGATAAAGGGTTTTTAGGGCTTAGGGTTTAGGGATTAAGGGGTCTAAGGTGTGGAGAGAGAAGGTCGCAGCGTGAGAAGCCTCAACGCGTAAACTCGAAGCCCTAAACCGCAACAGCGTACGGTAACTCCAAAACCCTTAGATCAACTCCGAGTCGGTACTTGCCACAGTAGCCAGGTCAAAACTGCGGGACTTCCTTCGACACCCTGATCTCTTAGGGCTTATAGGGTTTAGGGTTTAGGGTTCCACTTGAGCGGCAGCTTGAGTTCAGGGTGCATGTCCGGACGATAACATGAACTACCACTCAAAGCGCAGGATAGCTACGGCCTCCGTAGGAAACTTAATAACAATCACCAGGACACTCCACAACAACATGATCGACGCGACAGTAACTCCTAAGCCTAGAACAGAACTTTCGTTGACAAAACGATAAGAAGAGTGCCAACAATAGCAACATTTACAACAACAGCAATGATAGCAACAACGATGATGATGATGATAAGAATGAACTAAAACCCATTGCCTCACCCCTAAGACGTGAAACCAGATTCGAGAAAAGAGAGAAACCTTGAATTCTAGAGCGTAGCCTTCCTATTGCGATAACGACTACTCCTCATAACGGAGAGATGCAGTATCGGTTCTTTCGATGCTATTAGGAATGCGATTATAACTTGTTGGACCATACCTGGTCTGATGTAGGGTCCCTTACAAAGGACCCCTAATGGAGTCTTTGGATACTGCCCCCACTCAGTAACAGTTGAGTAATATTCATAACACGGGGATATAAGGCCCCTAATAGTAGCCCTCTTATAGACTGTTACTGCATGGGGGCAGTACCCCTACTAGAGTGTCTTCGCCCTAAACCCTAAACCCTAAACCCTAAACCGGGCTAAGGAGTATTGGAGTCTCGGGGTAGCAGGGTCTCGGCCTCCAAAACCCGAAGAGTCCACTATCCCGTAGGGGGCCCCTAAACCCTAAACCTTCCTGAACCCTCCATAGTTGAAGCCACTTAGGGCTTAGGGTTTTGGGGTTTGGGATTTGGGGTCTAGGGGTTTAGTGCTTTAAGTCACGTTCATGGATTTCTGTAGGGCAATTTGGCTCTCGTTGGGTCGGAGTTTGGGTCGGATTGCGGTAGACAAAGCATGCGGCAAATTACTTACTAGGTAATCCTTTGTAGTTTAAGTTCGAAACCCTAAACCCTAAACCCTCAAAGGAGATTGCGCATGCCCCCATGAAATCCCTTATAGAACCCTCAAGAGTCGTTGAAACGCCTCATGAAGCCTCGCTACAGCCCTTTGCAAAGCCTTTCTACACCCTGACGAGACCCGGTACTGTTCTAAATGTTCTGAATTAAGAAGCAGTACTGCTTTTAACGTTTTTCATTCAGAATAGGTACTGTTCTTCATGTTTTTGACGAATTAAAAAACCGTACAGCATGTAAAATTGCAACGTCGAAAATTGATAATTAAACAAAAGCCCACCAAAAAAGTTGTCCGCTTCGGCCCTAGACCGCAAGCCCCTCCACCCTAAACCCTGAACCCTAAACGCCTAAACCCTGAACCCGAAACCCTGAACCCGGAACCCTAAACCCTGAACCCGAAACCGCAAACCCTTTAGCCCGGAAGCCTCTTGAGGTTCGGAGGCCGCGGGCCCTGAGGGCCAAGGGGCAGGGCCGGGGGGTCCTAAGAGATTGGGGCTCAGGGATTAGAAAGTCTAGGCGTTCCTTAAAGGGATCTAAAAGGGTTTAGGGGTTTGGGGTTTAGGGGTTCCTGAAAGAGATCTAAACGGGTTTAGGGGTTTGGAGTTTAGGGGTTCCTTAGAGGGATCTAGAAGGGGTTAGGGGTTTGGGGTTTAGGGTTTAGGGGTTCCTTACAGGGATCTATAAGGGCTTAGGGTTGAGGGGTTCCTTAAACGGATCTACAGGGGTTTATGGGTTTAGGGATTAGGGGTTCCTTAAAGGGATCTACTGGGGTTTAGGATTTAGGATTTAGCGACTTAGGGCTCAGGGTTTCAGGGTGCAGGGGTTTGGGGGTTTAGGGCTATGGGCGATTGAGTTCAAGGCCCTTGGGCTCCAGGGCCAAAGGGTGTTAAACTCCTAAACCCTTAAAGATCCCTCTAAGGAACCCCTGAACCCTAAACCCTATGGGCCTTGAGTTCAAGTTGGGTTCTAGTGCCGGAGGGTGATGGCTTGGGGATATCGGCAATTGAATCATGCTCTTTGGTAGGATTGCCGGACAGAAAACGATCTCCTGACTTAAGGGCCTTAACTCTGGACAAAAAATCCTGTAACCCTAAGGCCTTAACGTGAATTCCGGAATTCAGCGAACTTGAAGACTATGACCCTAGCATTTGGGTCCTGCTGTTTTCTGAAGCATCCATACCCTAAACCCTAAACCTGGCACTTAAAAAAATAAAGCGTAGTAATGTCAAGCGTAGGGGGGACCTTAAGGGTTCGGGGTTTTGGGTTTAGGGTTTTTAGGGCTTGGGGTGTAGGGTTGGGGGTTTAGGGCGCAAAGAAGATGCTTTCCTTGGTGGTAGTCGGGGGCCTCAATGCTTGAACCTCGCACGTAACCGAATGAGGTACCCAGAGAGCCCAATACCCCTTAATTACGGAATCTTCCTTAAATCATAATATTAAGGCTCCTATAATTTAAGGCATATTCCGTATTTAAGGGGTATTGGCCTCTCTGGGTATACTCCTCAATGATGGGGTATTGGGAAGGGCTCTCTGGTGTCGTAGCCGATGAACATCGGGGGTTAGGGCACAGCGGATGACGGTGCAGTGGCACAAGAAGCACGATATCCCACACGCACAAGACTCACATCCCAACTTACCACATGGGCAGTTCTCTAAATTAGCGTCCCTTCTTAGATCCAAAATAGCACGGCACCCGTATAAGAAAAAAAAGGATTTCCAAAAGGGGCCCTAATTTGGAGAACTACCCACATGCCGCTAGCATGGCGCTCAATTCCCGAAACTTCCGGCCTGCTTTTGACAGCGCAGTCTCCTGGCAGTTAGGATTAGGGGGATTTTTGGGGATATAGGGTTTAGGGTTTAGGGTGGTTGTTTTTGGGGTTTAAGGTTTGAGAGAGCTATAAGTAGGGTTAAGAAGGGTCCCCTGTAAGGGGTCTCCCTCATACTACCTAGCAACTCCTCCCAAATGCTCGAGCAAAGTTCGTGGTAGGCACTGGATATGCACTCAAGCGTTCCTAGAATCCCAGGAGCCATATTAAGAATGTCACAAAAAGGAATACCTAAGAACACTATGAGCAAACTCTGAAGGTTTTACGGGGGTATGGGAATGTATGCTTCTTCCGGACTACACATGATCTATCATGATCTGGCGTATTTCGCCAAGGGCTCTCACTTAAGCTACAACTTCTTGTTGTTCTGCACTGCCTTCGTTCGGTAGTATCCTGAATAATCGCCACAACTGCAACAAAAAACGACTTCACCACCGACTGCTTAGTTCTGGTCCGAATCTGCACGGGTCTCCACACGCACTAGGAGGGAAGGTAGCTCATGCTTGCTGAACTTCCTGTTCGGATATCCAAGGAGCCGACAAATGCACCAAAACACGCTAACAACATTCGAGAGAAGAAGGCTCGAAAGTGCACAGTTCAAAGACAGCTAGCTACACAGAAACACACTTAAACTGATTTCCCCAACATCCGATTCAGAAGCCTCTCCCAAACCCTGAGCGATAAAACCCTAAACCCTGAACCCCTAAACCGAAACCCTAAACCCTAAACCCCAAAACCGAAACCCTAAACCCCAAACCTTTACCCGTCAACCCTGAGCCAGCTTCAGCTCTCAACGGACCTACCAAACCCGAAAACCGAAAACCTAACTTTCAATGTTAAGTTTAAGGGCTCCTAAGGTTTAGGGGTTTTTTGGGTTCGGGGAAACCCCCGACTTTCGATTGTGACTTGATGGGCTATTTCAGTCTGCCTTCCCGAAACACCCAATTTTGCACACCCTACGCCAATATTGCCCTCATCCTGGCACCCTAAACCCTAATTGCCCTAAACCCCTAAGCCCTTAACCCTAACCCCTTAAACCCCTAAACCCCTAAACCCTTAAACCCTAAACCCGTAAACCCCTGCTCTCCGAGCCGAGCAAAACGAACACTGCACCTCAGGCCTTCATGTTCACAGGGTCACAAATGACCAGGTAGGCCAAGGAGAGGAGCAAATCTCCTTGAGCTCAGGGCCTGTGCAGATTAGGTTCATGGCGGTGGGGTGGCGGCGGCCTGAAAAGACTCGAGCCCCGTGCGCCACGGAGCACCATGTTCATGGACTCGCCGCGGTCCTGGAACAGGAAGTTATGCCCAGAATCCGAATCCTCATTCTGGGGCCCGCACTGCTCAGTGGCTCCCAGGTGAGAACTGCGAACGCCCCTTTCTTTCGACTTGGTAGTGCCAACTGTGTCGGTTAACTGAAAGGCGAGGCTCTCCGAGCCGAGCAAAACGAACACTGCACCTCAGGCCCTCATGTTCACAGGGTCACAAATGACCAGGTAGGCCAAGGAGAGGATTCCCACCCCCACCAGGCAAGCGGCGGTAGAGGAGTGCGAGGAACGCCAAGTGCAAAAGCTCAAGAGGGCGGGCTGGGAGGGCAGCTGCAGGTGGCACCGGTGGTGGCGGAATTGGAACGAAGTTTGGGTCAGTCAAGTACACAGGCGGCTGGTGCGTGGGGGGCGTTGGCCAGCCCATCCACACTTCTAGCAGTTCCACCAGTTGCAGCTCCAGTTCAGCGAAAGCCATGGAGGCGTGAGTCACACCGAGCCTCACCTCCATCCAAAGTTCACGAACTAGGCGGCCAGTGACCAACATAATTGCTCGGCACAGCAGGCGAATGAGCAACGACACGGCCAGTGCCACAAGTCTGGGGCAAAAGGCCACTACCAGCAGCGCTGTCCGAGTCCTCCAAAACCTTACAGGCCTTAGCAGGTGGACCACGCAAGTCCGCGCTAGCCTAGGCCAACTGGTTTCTTCCAAGCTGGTGCCGCGGCGAGGAGTGCCTCCACGAAGAGGCCGAGGCTCAGCAGGAGGAGGCCCGTGTTGAGGTAGTGCGCGGCCGGCTCCCTCAGGACGGAGCCCATCCAACAGTGTCAGCATCCTCGCCAAGACTGCTGTGAATCGCCTCGCGCCGGAACCCGAGCGCCAGCGAGAGGCCGCTATGCGGGAAGAGCTGTCTGCCAACACCTCAGCTGGCGACAAGCCGGGCTCAACTTCTTCTGTTCCCAGCTGCGTTGCGGCCTGTTGAAGGGCGGAGCGGACTGTTGAGACTGCAGCCGCAGTCCCCACAGACGAAGAGTGTGGCTCCAAACCTTCTGCGCTTCGGCCCCGCTCGTCACTTGGTGGGGCCTTGCCCCGGATCCGACTAGGCGGCCGCCTTGTGATGGCTGTTCTGTCCATCTGCGCGAAGAAGCTGTGCTGGTTTCCGTGCCCTGCGGCGGCTTGAAGGGTGTCGACCGGCCTTGTCTTGACTGATGCCTTGTTACGCTGCGATCACACTGGTCGACGTGCAGATGCTCCGGCAGCTTCGCTTGCGCAGTCACTCAACTCTAAGAAGAGACTGGGCCGAACGGGCCGGTGGTCGTGACAAGAAATGCACAAAACTTCTAGAGCATTCTAACTTACTACGACCCTCACCGGAAGCTTGCTGCGCAATATGCACGCTCATCGCCTCGTGGATATAGTGCTTCAGTGATTCGCTGGACTTCCAACGGCCTTGGAACTGCAGTTGGGGAATATTCTGAAAAACACGGTAGTGGTGTGGCTCCACCTGCCCTAAACGAAGCAGGCGTGTACCCGCAGCTTTCCAAGCTAAGGTCAGAGAGAGCTGTCCTCATCCGACTACCCCAGACACGCCCGGTCATCGGGAACACAAGCTGGTTAGCAGAAAGGTCGCGTACCCACCAGAACATCCATTTCACCACCCTAGCTTCCTTCACTAAGACCATTTGCGTCCGATAGGTTCGCTTGGTTTTGGGCTGCTTCACGATAACCACGAGGCCTAAGGACTCCTCTCCTAAAGCTATGGCGTCTGGGAAGGCCAAATCCTTCTTGCGGAGACTGACTACCTCATTAGGACGCATTAGGCCGCAGAAGGCCAACCATGAGGCGAGCATGCAAGCCCACCAAAGGTGACGGTCCCACCCTTGAGCATGCTGGCCCCTGCTTAGGCACATCAGAAGAAGCGCTTCCAGAGCCACGTGAGTGATGGGGGCCCGAGACCTCGAAGGCATGAGCGTGCGCCAGCCACGAATCGAGGCCCAGGTAGCTCTCAGAAAAGGGCCGGAAACTTTTAGGCGCCTCTGTAAACCCAAAACGCCTAGAGAAACCCAGTACAATTTCTCCCCCTCCTCGTATGCAGTCTCGATGGCTCGCGCGAGTGCGTGGTCTATGTCGCGAACTGAGGATCGAGGAGTAACCCGCAGTCCTAGCCGAGCGCACAGGGAGAGAAGCCAGAGAGCTGCATCTCGCAGGTTCCGTCTATAGGCCGGTGTGAGGCCGGCGTTCTGGAGACGCCCGGTCATCACACCACTTCACGAAAGCACCGGCAATCGAATCGCAAAGAGCTCGGGGATACTCACCAGTCTGTCTAAGACGAGGCTCGCGCGGTGGTCCCCCATGCAAAGTACAGCCAGGACAAGTTTTCACCACTGCTCCGAACCAAGGGGCTGAAGTGAGGATGCATGTAGGCTTCTTGTAGGGCAGCTCACCATTATTCACGTTACTGTAGGCACACATGTGAAGAATGTGTCGTGAGACCCCAGCCTTCTCGCGAAGCAACTCAATCTCACGAAACTGCCACGCCTTGCTGCGCAGAGGGTGCTCGAGGAAGAAAGGGATCCCGTTTTCATAGGCTAGACTGGCTAGGCGCACTGCATGACGCCACAGGTGATTCTCGATCGCCACGCGAGGGTGGAGCTCGCAGCCTTCAGGCCACCCGTTGAGTCTCAGGAACTTGCGAGGTTGGTGAGCGGGCCAAGCCTGGCCTTCACGAACTTTGTGCTTACCGACGGCAGTTAGGGGACTAAAGGAACTACAAGGCGGGGAGAGCCAAACCCAACTAACACCCTTAGCCCTAAGCAGGTCACCCCATTGAGCTTCCAACGCGTCTTTGCCGTACAGAATGTCAACGGGGTCCAGCATTTCACAACCTGCACGGCGGAAGGCTGCCGTTAACACGCCAGACCCTGCAAACATTTCAAGCCCGGGGAGAACACACAGGCGATGCATTAGCCCAAACCTTCGAAGCCACTGCGGGGGCCGACACGGCGCTGGCAAGGGCATGAACCTTGATGGAAAGTCGGCTGGATTTGAGTGGGTCTCCACCCATAGCACCGCAAACGACACGTTGCCTAACACGAGGTAGGGTAGAAGCGACCTAAGGCAACCGTTCAACCTAAAGGAGGAGGAACGGCCTTTGGCAAAAGCGCCTACGCAAACCCTAGAATCATTTAGACAAATGCGGATTAACCCACTATGTGCAGGATCTGAAGCAAACTTCACCAGCTCGCGCTTCAGGGCCCGGGCTTCTTGCAGATTGATGTGCGATGTATGCCTGAAGTGGTAGGAGGCCACCGGCTCCCATTCCATACACTCCGCTGCAACGCTAGCAAAGATTGAAGGTGCTTTGGGCTCCCCTGCATCCTCGAGGAAAGCAGAGCCTCGATCAAGTCGATCGAAGCGCCTCACCTCGATGTTCTGAGAGTCGCCACAATTCTTCTGCCAGCGCCGGAGGTGCTGAGGCCAAGACCGCCCCTCCTGAAGGCGGTGTCGCGTCGGTCGCCAGCGCCTTGTCGGCGATGGACCTTCGCAGGTTTGTGTAGCAGAAGGGGAGGTGAAGAGCTAAGCTGCGCAACTCGTCAATCACGAAGCTTGGGAGCCAGACAATCTCGTGGTCTGGCATGCTCGCGAGGAACTTATACACGTGATGCTGCAAGCTAAACAACTCCCGCCGAAACTGCAAGTGGAAAGTGATCAAGCCGAGCAATCGCTGAAGAGCTAGCTTGGTGCAGCGCCCCAAGGCGACGACCTTGCGGATCAGCACCCACACCTGTCGGCGAGCAGCGAGAGGACCCGAAACTCGTCCTAGCACTCCGTCAACTTCGGCGCCCCACGCTTTGAACTGGACCTCCGCCCGGAAGGCCTTGTGCGTAGCTCTCTTCAGGCCCGCGCTCTGGTATGCAGACTCTGCCTTGGCCACCCTCTGCATGTCCTCATCATCCTCCTGCGCCGGCGGAGGAGCGAAATTTCCATCAAGCGGCACCTCACTGTGGTAAGTGCAGCGCTTTGCCACGAGAAGGTCGTCCAAGTACACGCCTTCCCAAATGTCAGTTAGCGGTGCACTCTTCCCGTACACCAAAACTGTCTCAGGCTCCAGCAGTCCGGCATCACGCAGTATGCTTTCATGAGTAGCCTGCGCCACATCGCAGGCGTTGATGTCTCCCATCCCGAGCACCCTGAAGCAAGCTCTGTGAGGTACTCTGGGGTCCAAGCCCTTTGCGGCCACGATCTTGGGATCCACTCGGCGACCGACAGCGTTGTACCTGATCCAGGTCTCGGGCAGCCCGAGGGCGTAGTAGAAGTTACGTAAGTCGTCACCGGAGCCCCTGACGTACTCATTGGATCTGAGCAGCATGCAGGTGAAGCAAGCTCCGCTGGGCAACGATGCCCAACGCAAGCGCCGCATTGTCGCGTTCTCTGGGCGCCTGTCGAAAATCAGACGGTCCTCTGAGCTGTTCTTCTTCACAGCGAAGAGGCCTCCAACGAGGAGCTTTCCATTCTGCGCCCTCGGCAGGTCAGACTCTGGCACTAAAACCACCATGTTGGTGTCAAGCAACTTCTGCATCACTGCGGCCTCTTGGTCGAGAGGAACTCGGTGGCAGCTGATTGGAATCTCCTGCCAAGCTTCCTCGGGGAGGCGCAAACTCTCAAGGTTTTCAAAGACCGCCGCCTTCAAGGGATCCAACCAATCAGCTGGATTCACCTGCCCGGCCTCCTCTGGCACCGCCATGCGCTCAGCCAACACTGGCAGAGCCACCCCGCTTTCAGGAGGAGCCTGGGGCACGGTGCCGTCGTGGCTCGGCATAGAGCGAGCAAGAGTCTGAAGGAGAGCGTCCAAGTCTCCCCTCTTCCCGTCTAAACTTAAGGAATCCCTAAGCAAATCCGGGGAACAAAAAGCCATAACCTCGCCAAGTAGCCTGTCCGAGAAGAGCCTCACTTCTTCGAGACTCCGGTAGACCACCCGCGGCTCATAGCAGCTATCCCTGCACTCTGGGCAACCTAGCACCACGAAGTTAGACCAAGCCACAAACTCATTCATGAGACGCTTGGCCCAATTCGCGGCAGAGCTTTCCAGTGGCACCCCTCTGCAGTCAAGCACCTCGGGGTAGGGAAGCAGGCCCGGAAAAAGAGGCTGTGAATTGCCAGACCGCTCTGGCAGAATACCTTGGGCACTTCGAAACCATGTATAAAAACGGATAATTTTGAATTCCGACCAGGTAGAAGCAGATCAGCTGTACAGGCCGCCTCACCCTCATGCAGCTTCCAGGACGAGTTCACTCGTCTTTGGCGGTTCTTCCTCCGTGGCCTGTCTCCTTCATGCGCTTCCGGAGTTTCGCCAGCGCATCCATGTACCCGCTGACTATCGCCAGCTCCTCCTTGGTTCCTCTGAATTCCTTCTTCGCCAGTGGGTCGGCTAGACCCGTAAGCAGCCACGCGGCAGACCAGTCGCCTTGCTGCAACACTGCCTGCACCTTTGCTTTCATGTTTTGGCAAAGCTGTGCTGTTGCCGCCTCCGAGTTCCCAGCGCGCAGATACTCGTAGACTTGGGCATCCATGACTGCGCAGCGATAGATCCCTTTGAACTTCCCCCAAGGCTGTCGCCTCAAGTAGTCCTTCAAGGTCCACGCCTGCCCGGCCACTATTCCCAGCTCCTCCGCAATCTCCCGCTCGAACTCCTGATAGATCTGCTTTGGCCGCTTCTCGATTCGCTGCTGGAGACGATGCAGGGATGTAACTGCCTTCATCCCTTTGTCTTTCCACTCCAAACCGTCTGGCGACGCCGACGCTGTCGATCCCGCTTGTCCTCCATGAGGTAGTTCATCATGAGCAGCGGCATCACGTCGGAAGCGCTTGCGCCCTGGGCAAGGCTGAGGGCCATCATCTTTTGAAGATCTGGACCCTTTGGCTCCGGCTTCTTGGCGGGATCCGTCGGCTCCTCGTCGTCTTCGTCGCTGAAGTCCGAGTCGTCCCCGAAAAGACCGCGCAACTGAGCAAGGTCGGTGGCTAGTTTCTTCGCCCCGCGGGTGCGGCGTTTCGGCTGCGGGGCTTTCCCGCACAGGGTCCGCCCAACCCTCGGCTTCGCTGCTCTTCAACTCCCGGTTCAGGTCTTTCCATCCCTTGAGGCCAGTAGCAAAAGAAGGCAGATCCTTGGCTCGTTCTCCTTTCCACTGAGTCGGGGCTGTGCCGCTAGCGGAAGCCCTAGCGATTCGGAGGTAACCAACCTGCTGTTGGCCAACCTTTGCCGTGCTGGTTTCGGCAACTTCCTTGACGGCGGAAGCCAGGCAGCCTACGATCAGGTCCTCGCCCAATTCTTCTAGTAGCCACCCGCAAACAGGCAAGGTATCACCGACTTGATTCCGCACTCTGACAAAAACTACGTCGCCAACGGAGGCCATGGCACGTGCTAAGTCAACCCTATCCTGAAAAGACTCGAGCCCCGTGCGCCACGGAGCACCATGTTCATGGACTCGCCGCGGTCCTGGAACAGGAAGTTATGCCCAGAATCCGAATCCTCAACCCTAAACCCCTAAACCCTTAAACCCTAAACCCCTAAACCCCTTAACCCTAAACCCTAAAAACCCTAAACCTTAAACTCAAACCCCTAAACCCTAACCCCTAAACCCTAAAACCTAAAACCGCTAAGCCTGAGACCCCGAAGCCCCAAACTTCCAGGATCAAGCTCCTCCTCGACCTCCTCCGGCTCTTCGAGGGCCAGTACCGACCTACACAAAGCCGTAAGGCTCTATGAGGTTTTGGGTTTTAGGCTCTAGGAGATTTAGGGTTTCAGGCTCTAGGCGGTTTAGGGTTTAGGGTTTTCCGTTGCCGGCAAGGGTCCTCCAAACGTTAATACCATTTTCTGAAAAAGGCAAGTTTTCCGCCGCCGGAAAGTTTTCTCTAAACATTAATTCCATTTCTTGAGCAAGGCAAGCTTTTAGGGCTCTGGGCTGGCCTGTAGCGTTTAGGATTTAGGGCTTGGGGCAAGCCTTTAGGGTTGAGGATCTAGGGCTTTGGGTGGGCCCTAATTAAAGGCTTTGATTTAGGGTGGCCTGTAGGGTTTAGGATTTAAAGCTCTGGGCTGGCCTAGGATTTAGGGTTTAGGATTTGGTGTTCTGGTTTGGCTTTTAGGGTTTAGGATTTAGGGCTGTGGCAAATACAACTTTACTGGCTTGAACCCTAGAACCTTCAATCCAAGGCTCCCCTTCCCGCCTGTCGGAGCAGGATGCGACCTGAGCCAAAACAGAACTCAGGGTTGAGGCTTTAGGGCTTTAGGGCTTTAGGGTATAGGGTTTAGGTTTTAGGGCTTAGGGCCTTTTTTTCGGGGAGGCTGCGCAGTCGCAACTCGGGTATACTTCTCGAAATCCTCAACCCGAAGCCCTGAACCCTGAACCCCAAGGCTTCTTCTCCCACACACTGAACTACTAACCCCGTTTAGGGTTTAGGGTTTAGGGTTTAGGGTTTAGCGTCTGATGCCCTGAAGTAGACTTAAAACAAAAGCAAACAGAAGAAGCACAAACCTAAACCAAGCCTTACTTGCCGAACCCTAAGACGTAAATCCTACACCCTGAACCCCAAACTCTGAACCCTACACCCTACACCCTAAACCCAGCGCAGGCCTAACCCAACCTCTGTGACTGATTTGCGAATGTTGGGGCCTGTAGTAGTAGTAGTAGTAGTAGTAGTAGTAGTAGTAGTAGTATAGTAGTAGTAGTAGTAGTAGTAGTAGTGCTAGTTATGCTTAAATAACCCTAAACCCCAGACCCTGAAACCTCGACCCTTAAACCCTAAACCCTTACTGAATATCATCATTATTATGACAGCCACGAAAATCCCCATAACAAACAACAATCCATGTTCTGACTCTCAATCATTGTCGAAACCCCAAACCCTGCAAACCCTAAAACCCCAAACCCTAAACCCCCAACCCCAAACCCTAACCCCCTAACCCTAAACCCTAACCCCCAAACCCTAAACCGCAAGCCCTAAACACCAAGCCCCAAACCCTAAACCCTAAACCCCAAACCCCTAAACCCTAAACCCTAAACCCCAAACCCTAACCCCAAACCCCAAACCCTAAACCCTAAACCCCAAACCCCAAAGCCCAAGCCCCAAACGGCTTCGAGGCCAAAGGTTCTACGCTGCTCGGCCGTGCCCTGAAAGGAACATAGCAAAGA